TTATCGTAATCATTTCTCTGTTGGATACGATGTCAAATTTAACAAATGATGAAACACACACACACACACACACACACACACACACACACACACACACACAAACACAAACACACACACACACACACACACACACACACACACACACACACACACACACACACACTCACACACACACACACACACACACACACACACACACACACAGATACACACACATACACACACACACACACACACACACACACGCAGAAAGAAAAAAACTCGAGTCAGCCGAAAGTTTCGTAGGAATGCGGACTGAAACAAGAGCCAATACAATCCATACGAAAAACGCGTGGCAACAAAAACGCGTAACGCAGCAAGCAAAGGAATAATAATTTAAAAATGCGAATCAAGTTCCTCCTGACGTCGCGTGATCCGAGCTGGCGGTGTTGTACGAAACTTCACGGGGGAGATTGAAAATACAGTCCTTCCTATGGTTCATCGCGCACAATTCATCACTTTTCCTTGATCTACAGCATTCGTTTTTCTCCGATGTCGAAAAAAAAAGTGTATTTCGTTGGAAGAAATAATCTTCGAAGCGTAACAGTAAAGACTAATTTTTGGTCGTATTCAGTTAAGCCTCTTCTCCGTCAGTTAGTCTTCTTTCTACGAAAATAAGTTTGGGAACTTCAGTCGATCTTTTAACGATAGTTCATTGAAGTTTGTTGATAATAAAAGATACAAGAGTTAAATATTGTTAAATATTTCTTAATTTTTCCAAGATTAAGGGGGGGGGGAGGGTGGGAGGGGAATTAATACTGAAAGTATCAGTATCCTTTGACCAAATCTATCAGAATCAAAGAAGCTATCGATACTGCCTGAACAACAATTTTCTTCAACGCCAGTTTTCTCAAGCGATTTTTTACTATCAACCACGAGCATATTATTTTACAATTTATACAAGTGTTGCATATAATTTCCTGACCTGTATTTTCAATCGACCCAATCGTAAATTTTCAAACGTGAACGAACCAGGGGATCACGGACGATCGTGTCTTCGATCGAAAAAAAAAAAAAAAGACGTCGCTTCGCGGCGAAAAGACGAAAAATAATAAAAAAAAAAAAAAAAGAAGAAAGTAAAGAACGGAACTATGGTTCCTAAGAGTAAGAAACCGACGAAACAAACTAAATAATAAATGACGGGCGGCTGCGAGGAGAGAGCAACGTAAAAAGACGCTGTCCTCGGCTATTTCGAACTCTCCTTTTCGTCTCTACGCTACTTCGACGGTCCGCGTTTCGAAGGGTTTTTTATCGTTCCGTAACTTTTTGCAATCCTAACCTAACGTACTACGCAACATAGTGTTAATTAATTATCGTAACATTTTTAGCGTGTGCGTGCGTCTATTTGTGCATGCGTGCGCGTGATACAATTAACTATCCAATTGAGGTACAGCTCGGTTGATTTTGCACGAAAACCTTCTTCAGATCCGATCCAGTGAGTTCGGATCGGCGAATATGCTAATATCTGGTGGTCTGTACGGGAAAAACGCTGTGTGTCATGATTTCGACAAATTTCAAAGTTCAGCGCCAAGAAAAAAAAAGAAAAAAAATACGGGAATACAAATTTCACAGGTTCAAAATGGAATAAATATTGCGAGAGAACACGTTGAGTCACAGGATTTTAAAAACAAAAGGAAATACAGTTTTATTTTAATTATCGAACAAAACTGAACTGTTTTTATGCGTTCTGTATCATTATTTCGACAGAAGTAATAATAATATGCACGGTTAACTATGCAAATTGAAAGAAATATACGTACATTTGTATCCTGAAAAACGAAACGATTGATAAGGAGAATTGGTATCGAAAACTTTCGACAGTGTCTTGAAAATGAAAATACGTGACTTGTGTGACTGGTTTTCCTTTACGACCACAGATATGTCAAGCCAGTTTATCGGCCGATTTCGACGTGTATGTTTCCTGGAACAATTAGAGAAAGAAATTTATTAGATAGTATAGCTAATGACTGGACTGCAGATCCTTATGCAAACTCATATTACTGAGAGCGTAACTTTATGCATTGTATTGATTAAAAAAAAAAACCGTTCCTCTGAAAATTAGAAATCCACGAATTATCATGGAGAACGTTAATATCATTAAATATTAACTTTGAACATTTTATATGTTCTTTCGTACTTTAAAATCTCCCGTGAACGCATAAAAATCCGCAGTCTTACCAATAACGAACGACGAATGAGATTTCGAGTTGTCGGTTCGATCTCGCTCTTCGAAACAGCGCCGATACACTTACATATCTTCTACGTTGCAAACTCGAGAGAAACATAAGAAGAGAAAAACGTTCAATCGATAAAAACTCGCTAAAAAAGAGAGAGAGAGAGAGAG